GAATACTTTCCTGTACTGGTTTTATCATCCTGTGTACACTTTTTTTCTTTTCGGTGCCCAGGGATGGAGCCCAGGGCTTCCTGAGGGCTGAACCAGGGCTCCACACCTGAGTGACGCCCCATTCCTGTCTGTTCATTTTATTTTTGGTGCATTTCGAAGTACATCGCAAACACCGTCGGCTTTGTCCTGGATCCCTCAGCACATCACTAACCACAGCTCAGTATTCCAGTTTTTTCTGTTCTGATCCCAAATTTACATCAAGTGAAATCCACCAATCTCCAAGGTGCCTCTGCCGGGTTTGGAGGGGGCTGGTCTCTGTGTGACCCAAACTGCATCCGGGTCCAGAAGGTGCTTCACTCCCCATCTCTCCCCACCCCAGCGGCTGTCCCTGTCCTGACTTCCCGCCCTTCCCGGCAGCCCTGCTGATGCAGGACATCCTGGATGTGGGATCAGACAGCCAGCGGTGGCCTTTCGTGCCTGGCACAGTGACTTGCAGACCTCACCACACTGTGACACGCATCATGGATTTGCTCCTTGGCACGCTGAAGAATGTCCTCCTAACATTTTGCAGAGTGTGTTTTTATACTGAATTGTTTTGTGAATGGTTTTATGGAGCTGTAACTCACAGGCACCCAATCCGACGGTTTCAAGTGTGTTCGCAGTTGTGCAATCGTTGCCCAAGTCAACTTGAAACCTCTCCGCCACACCTCCCTCCAGAAGAGTCTGCACCTGTTGGCAGCCACTCCCCCCAGCCCAGCCCCAGCCACCACACACGCCTCTCCTGTCTGTCTCTCTGGATCTGTCTGGTCTGGACATTTCGTAGGAATGCAGTTGTACATCATCTTACTGAGTTCTTCCACAGCTGAGGCACACCCCTGTTCGTTCCCAACTTCGTGTGACACCCACACCAGCTTTAGGGGTGAGGGCCTACTTTTCTCTCTAATTTATACGACGAGGAATCTGAATTAATGTCAGAGACACTATATCTGTTCATTTGTCATTACTAGAACAAAACGCCTGAGGCTGGGTAGTCAGGAAGAAGAGGGATTAGCTGAGCTCTCAGGTGAGGAGGCTGAAAGTCCAAACATCTTGGCGTAGGCTCTGGGGAGGGTGTCATGGCGGATGGCACCACAGTGGTTGCAGCACAAGAGAGAGGAGAGAGGTCATATGGCAGGACAAGAAGCCGGAGAGCTACCTCAGTCTTTCAAGAACTAATCAAAAGGTCCCACAAGAACCATCTTCATCCTTTCCCAGGGCAGCACCCCAGTGCCTACGCCCTCCTATGAGCCTCCACCTCTTAAGGGTCCCACCAGCTCCTGACACCCTCACACTGGGGACTGAGCCCTCGGGGACAGGCCACATCCTAACCCCAATGGGAGCTGCCCATCTTGCCTCACGGGTCAGTAGCTACTTGTCACTGTGACCAAGAGGGAGGAGAGGTTTATCTGGGGCTCCTGGTTTCGGAGGTTCGGTCCCCGATTGGCAGACTCCATGACCCTCGTCCTGGGGTGAGGCAGGCCATCGTGGAAGAAGGACGCGGCAGAGCCAAGCCGCTGCGCTCCTGGCGCTGGGAAGCAGGGCGGAAACCCAAGAGAGCCAGGGACAGGACATGGTCCCCAGGGGCGTGGCCCAGGGACCCGCTTCCCGACAGCCTGCAGTTCCCAGCCTGCAGTTCCCACCAACCGGGGACTCCATCCAGCTGTCAGTCCACCGAGGACATCAGGGGCCTCGTGATCCAATTGCTCCACCCCAGGACAGTGCTGCATGGGGACCAAGCCTTCTGCCTGAGATTTGGAGGAATATTCTGGAACATTCCCGGTCCCAGCGCTGGAGAGTGACACTCCTCCGTCCACGAGGCTGTGCTTCTGTGGCCCAGGCCCCCCAGGGCGCCCACACCCCAACCTTCAGCTTCCTCCAGGGCTCAGGGCAGCCCCACCCGGGAGGCTGAGTGAGGTGACTGTCCCCGTTGTCCCCGCAGGTGTACATGTTCCTGGTGAAGTGGCAGGACCTGTCCGAGAAGGTGGTGTACCGGCGCTTCACCGAGATCTACGAGTTCCACGTGAGTGTGGGGTGGGCAGGGGACACTGGCCCGCCCGGCTCTGTCCTTGGGAGGGTCCTGCCCACCATCCTGGGGAACAAGGGAACCCTGGTCCCTGACCCACAGTTTAGGGTGTCGTATTTAACTTTCAAGAAATGTCAGCCACCGCGTGTCCCCACTGCGGGGAGCACTCAGCACGGGCGGGTGGGTGGGAGAGAGAAGAAGGAGGGGTGGAGGCCACACGGCCAGGCCAGGTGCCCTGACCGGGGCCAGCGCAGCCGGGGGTGGAGGGAAAGATTCCCTGGTGACCTGGGTGAGGGCAGGCGAGGAGGAGGGATCCAGGCCTGGACATCCCTGGCCCGAGGGGTCCAAGGGGGCCAGGTCCTCGGCATCTTCCCTTCTTCTTCTAGAAATTGTTAAAAGAAATGTTCCCCATCGAGGCTGGAGAGATCAACCCCGAGAGCAGGATCATCCCCCACCTCCCAGGTGAGGGCGCTGGCCACCGCCCGGCCCCTGCCCCCCTCCACGGCCCCTGCCCGCACTCCCCTTGGACTTGACCTTGTGGGTGCGCTCACGCCTTTGGTCTCTCGCCCCTCCCTCCGGCCAGCTCCCAGGTGGTTTGACGGCCAGCGGGCGGCGGAGAGCCGCCAGGGCACGCTGACCGAGTACTGCAACGCGCTCATGGGGCTGCCCGCCAAGATCTCCCGCTGCCCACACCTCCTGGACTTCTTCAAGGTGCGCCCGGATGACCTCAAGCTCCCCTCGGACAGCCAGTAAGTGGCCACCTCCGCCCACCAGGCAGGAGCGGGAAGGCGGGAGTGGGCCTGGAGGGCAGTGGGGTCTGCCCCATTTTACAGATCAGAAGCTCCAAGCTCAGAGAGGGCAAGTGACCTGTCCCAGTCACACAGCTGGAAAGGAGGAGGCAGGTGCCAACCCAGGGGTGGTGTCATCTGGCCTGGGACTCCTCTGAGGCCCTGGTGCTGAGGGAAGCCCAAAGTCCTAGGTCTCGTCCTGACCCTGCAGCCTTCTGCCTGTGGACAGGAGTGGCCCCTCCGCCCTCTGAATGCATCCGTGATGGGGGGTGAGGATGGAGGGATGGGTGTCATGCCAGGTGCAGTGACAGCATATCTCCAGTGTCCTTCAGGGACACAGGGTGCTGAGCGGGTCTTGGGCTCCTGTACCCAGGCCCTGCATGGAGCCACCTGGGAAGCTGAGTGAGTTCCAAGCAGCTGGGGCGAGGGGCCTCTACCTGTCTCTTTCTGATCACCAAACTCAGGGATGGGCCTGGAGGACAGGTCTGTCCCTAAAGGGAGGCAGAGCCTGATGGCACTGCCCCAGACTGCACTTGTTGACCTTGAACTTGCGGCTTGGTCCAAGGGAGGGCAGCTCCATGGCGGGAGGAGGTGGTAAGAACGAGGAGGCTCTTGAGGCCCCAGGGGAAGGGCACCTGCAGCCACCAGTGTGTGGGGTCACCCAGCCGGGAGAGGAGGGCCTCTGCTTCCCTGGGGCTGTGGGGGGCTACCAGCCCTCTGTGCGCCCCTCCCTTGGGCTGACCCAGCAGAAGCCCTGGTGGTTCCCCAAGGCCTCCCTCCCGGATCTAGCCTCTACTGTTCCCTGCATTGACAATTCCCCTCATTTCTTAGCTCCTGGGAAGTCCTCCTGCAGGTCTGCCCAGAGCCTTCCCTTCCCCAGTGGGAGGCCCAGGGTCTGACCCAGACTGTTCTCTTCTTAGGGTGAAGAAGCCAGAGACATACCTGATGCCCAAAGATGGCAAGAGTAACGCTGCAGGTGAGAGGGCAGGGTCAGGAGCGGGGGTCCCTGAGTACTGCCCACGTGGTCAGGGACCCAGAGCTTGGGGCCAGCAGGGGAGACAGCAGCTGGGGAGAGCGGGCTGTGCGGGCTCGTGTTGTCCCAAGGAAGAGTTGGGTCTCCGAGGGACACTGTGCAGGTGGTGGTATATCTCCACCCAGTGGCTGCAGAGCCCTGCACAGCCCCTCCTCCCAGCAGCCTGGGGGACACGTGTGACTGAGTGAATGAACAGGTGTTGGGAGCCAAAGTGGCCTTCAGGGGTGACACAAGGGTGTGACCATTTCTAGTCTGGATTGTCGAGTGGGGGCGCACGTGACCTCGGGGGTTCAAGGGCAGCCTAGGCAATGTGATGAGATCCCGTCTTGAAAGAAAGAAAAAGAGAAAAGAATACCAGCCAAGTCACCACCTCTGTAGAGACAGGAGGTGGGAACGGCTGTGCCATTGAGTCTGACGTGACTTCAGACTCCTGCCCAGGCCACTTGGGCTCCTGAGCGTGGCCCGGGCAGCTCAGCCTTAGAGCATCCTCAGCCGAGCGAGGCCTCCATGAGGCCTGGAGACCAGTGGTGCCTGTTGGCTGTGACACGAGGCACCGTGGCCTGAGGGACGTGCACAGCAGGAGTGGACTTTCTCCCAGTTCCGAGGCTGGAGGCCCAGGGTCAAGGGGTCGGCAGGCTGGTCTCCTGGAGGTTCTGCGTAGCTTGCTGGGCCCCCTCCAGCCTTCCCTGGGCTCCCTACACATCCGGGCATCTTTCCTTGCAAGGACGCAGGTGGACTGCGGCAGGTCCACCCTGCGGCCTCATTTTAGTTTGGCCCCATGTCCACACATGGCGCATTCTGAGGCCCAGAGTGAGAATTTGGGGGAGGGCTGAGCTCCTAGCAAGCAGCAGGGGGGGCAGCGTCTGGGGCTGGCTGATGTGGGGACTGAAGTCCCTGCAGAGGCACCTGACCTGCAAGGTCCCGGGGGACCCCAGCGGATCCTGGTTCATGCTGGAGAAGGCCATTGGGGGCCACCTCCAGCAGCTGAGAAGGGCCCAGGGGATGGGCCGGTGTCAGGAAGGCGGGTCCCTGGGTGACGCAGGGCTGCCAGGCTCTCTGCCCACCTCCACCCTCCTGGTAGCCTGGCATTGCGGGGTGGGGGGCAGACAGTGCGGCCCTGGTGACCTGTGCGGAGGACACCTTCTCTGCTCCTCACCCCACCCTCCCCTGCCCCAGATATCACGAGCCCCATCATCCTGCAGACGTACCGGGCCATCGCCGACCACGGGAAGAACTCGGCCTCGGAGATGGCCGTAGCCACAGGGGACATCGTGGAGGTCGTGGAGAAGAGCGAGAGCGGTCAGCTCCCCACCCTGCTGCAGGCCTCAGGCCCCGCAGCCACCACCCCACCAAGGCCGGGCAGCCTGGGGCCCCCGGGCCTGGCCCCTGCTATATCCACACACATGTTCCACGGGGGGCCACAGGGGCCGTATATGGGGGACACAGCTCATTTGAAGGGGGCTCAGCGCTGTCACGCGAAGCCTGTGGGCATGGAGGTGACACTGCAGGATCTGTGCACTGGGTGTCTGCGGGTCTGTGTCCTCACCCTGATGGCCGAGGCAGGCTGCATCCCCACCTCTTACCTCCCCATGTCCCTGGCACAGGCTGGTGGTTCTGCCAAATGAAGGCCAAGCGTGGCTGGGTGCCAGCATCCTTCCTGGAGCCCCTGGACAGTCCCGATGAAGCAGAGGACCCAGAGCCCAACTATGCAGGTGACCGTCAGGCCACGGGACTGCTGGAGGAAGGGGCGGGAGGGCCCGGGTTGTGCAGAGGCCAGGGTGACTGCTTTGGGTTTGGGCCCGATTGCCAGGTGGGCAGAGGCGGAGGCCCATCCTCTGGCTCGGGGCCTCATGGATCATGGTGTCCTTGGCCGAGACAGGGGACCTGGGAGGAGGTCAGCCAGGGTCACAGTGTGGCCGCCTGGGGCTGGCCCAGCAGGAAGACCTGGGCTTGGGGAGGAGAGCTGCCTGCAGGTGGTGCCACCACTGCCCAGAAGTGGAACCGGGCAGCCCAGGGCTGATGGGGCCGGCAGGGGGCTTGGAGGAGCCAGGATGTTCCGTCATGTTTTAAAGCCCAGGAAGCTCACCACCTGATGATGGGTGGGGGTGATTTATGGCTCCTCCTTAAAAACTAGAAAAGGGCCGGATGCAGTGGCGCAGGTCTGTAATCCCAGCGGCTCCGGAGGCTGAGGCAGGAGGATCGTGAGTTCAAAGCCAGCCTCAGCAACTCAGTGAGACCCTGTCTCTAAATACAATACAAAATAGGACTGGGGATGGGGCTCGGTGGTCGAGTGCCCCTGGATTCAATCCCTGGTATCCCCCGCCAAAAAAACACAAAACAACACCTAGCAAAGGCCTGCCGGCCGCAGGTGCCAACCCTGGGCCAGCGCTGTGTGGTTCTGAGTGCCACGGGCATGGGTGCTCCCCTACCCACTTTTCACATCTGGGTGCCTGGCCAGGCCTTGGTAGCTATGAGACTCCTCATCTCTGGTGCGGGTGGTGGTGGGTGGGAGGCAATTCACTGGGCATAGTGGGCAGAGGGCTGAAGGCCAGAGTGGACCTCAGCAGTGGGTGGCAGGAGGCACCTGCAGAGGGAGACCAGGAAGGAGCAGGGTGTAGGAGTGAGGACAGGGATGGTGAGCCTCATGCTGGACGGACCTCACATCATGTCCTGTGGCCCTGTCACCCACCAGGTGAGCCCTACATCACCATCAAAGCCTACACTGCCGTAGAGGAGGACGAGATGTCTCTGTCCCAGGGGGAAACTATCGAGGTCATTCATAAGCTCCTGGACGGCTGGTGGGTGGTCAGGTAGGAGAGCACCTCCCCACTGCAGTGCCTACCTGAGTCAGCTCTGGCCTGGGCATAACCTGCGTGGGCTCTCAGCTGGCTTGGCTGAGTGACTCTGGGTGAGCCACCACCCCTCTCTGGGCTGTTTTCATCACAGTAGCCAGGGCTGGGGGATGAGCTCATCCTGCCTGTCCTGTGGGGTTCACTGTACTGGTCCAAAGGGGTACACGTCCCTTTGTGACTTAGGGTCTTTTCCTGGCTGGTCCACCAGTTTTTCTTCCTCTAGCAGCACAGCTCTTTGTGTCACGTGTGACAAAGGCACAGATGACCAAGTCATTCCTCTTGCTTTGAAGACTTTCATTGGATTCCTCTCCAGGCTTCTCCTAAGGAATGTCAATAGTATTTTTTCTGGTTCTGAGGAAAACAGACTCTCTGGAGCCAGGGGGCCTCCCAGAGCCTGTGTTTTCAGAGCCCTGGGCCACCTGGGCTCAAGGCTGTGGTCACAACACACATCCCAGCCTGGCCCTGGGCTGGGAGCTCGTTTTGAGGCAGCATTTCTCCAGTTAACACCCCAGCTCGCACCCCAGGAGTCTTCCTGTGAGTCTCTCCCCAGCAAGAAGGGTTAGGCTTCACCTGGGTCTTCTGTGCTGTGCAGAGTTTTGCTTTCACTCCCAAATCCAGCATTGGGGGTGGAGAGGAAGCCCTACCAGGAACCTGCAGGAACAGCTGGATAGACCTATGGGGAGAAGCAGGAAAGCCGAGACCCCGCCTCACACCATCACGTTCATTTTGAACGGATCACGGGGTTTCACCCAGGGTAAAACCAAAAAGCTGTTTGGAAGAAGGCAGAGAAGAATGTGACTTTCATAGGACACAAAAGGTCATCACCACAAAAGGAAACGCTGACCATACAGTTCTGCAGATGTCCTATAGCGAGCGCCAGACCCTTGGGGGCCCAGCACCCTCCCTTAACGTCGTTCCCCTTCCCCCTTGGAAGAAGAGCTGGAGGGGGCTGCGCAGCGCGGGTGGGGAAACGGGCCGGGACCCTGGGTTGCCCGCAGCCTCCTAAACCGCCTTCCTGGAGCCCCCCCCACCTCTGCCCCGGCCTCAAGGGCTGCCTCTGTTGCAGGAAGGAGGATGTCACTGGCTACTTCCCGTCCATGTACCTGCAGAAGTCGGGACAGGACCCGGCCCAGGCCCAGCGCCAGATCAAGGGCCGAGGGGCGCCGCCCCGCAGGTGTGCGTGGGGCTGGGCGGGGCAGGCACCGGGAGGGAACTTGAGGTAGAGGCGACGTCACTGATGTTCACTGGCCTTAGGGGTGGTCGGTGAACACGGGGAAGCCCCGGAGGGCTTCCCGGGGAAGGGGAAGGCCAGCAAGGTGCGTGGGAGGTGGCCTGGGCTCTGCAGCGGGTCAGGGCTAAGTGTTCAAGACCCAGGCAGGTGAATGTCCCGGCCCGAGCCTTGCGGGACCTCCAGCCGCTCCCCGCTCCCTCCAGCCAGTCTTTGGACCCCGGGGCGGGGAGAATCTTTGGACCCCGAGGCGGGGCACTAGGTGTCCCTGGCGGCAGGGACACGGGCGCGGCGGGGCCAGCGTTCTGACGACGCCCCCTCCTGCTGGGCCAGGTCGACCATCCGCAACGCACACAGTATCCACCAGCGGTCGCGGAAGCGCCTCAGCCAGGACTCCTATCGCCGCAACAGCGTCCGTTTCCTGCAGCAGCGTCGCCGCTTGGCGCAACCAGGGCCGCAGAGTGCAGGGAGCCCTCGGGGTGAGTTTGGGGCGGCGCGAGCCATGGGCCGGGGCTAGAGGGCGGAGCGAGCTCTACAGGACGAGGCGGGACTACGGGCTAGGGGCGTGGCCCGAGGGCGCGATAGGCGGGGAGACCCAGGGGGCGGAGCCAAATGGAGTGTGGGGGCGAGAAGGCGGGAGCGGAGGGAGGGCGAAGCCAAGGGCTGGGAGGCAGGGCGGGGCCTCTGACCCGCCTGAGGTCCTCCTGCAGGGGAGAATCCGCAGAGTCAGCGTGCGAAGCCGCAGCCCGCGGTGCCCCCGCGACCCAGCGCCGACCTCATCCTGCACCGCTGCAGCGAGAGCACCAAGAGGAAGCTGGCGTCCGCCGTCTGAGGCGGGGCAGCCGTCCCGTACCCTGTCTGTGTGTGTACATAGCCTGGCTGTCTGCTGGAGCAGCCCCGGCCCCCTCCCCACGTGGCTATCCGCCATCCTGCCATCCTGCATGAATGTTGCTTAGAGTGGACCGAGGCTCCGAAGAGATAGGCTCCGCCCCAAGGGTGTTTCTAGGACGAGGAGAGGAGGCAGTGAGTTCTGCTGGGTGGAAGTTTCAAGAGCCAAGGGCCCATTGCCTTGGCCCTGGCCAAGAACAGGTCTGCAGAAGGCCAAATGCAAGAGGAACCCCGAGTCCCTCGCTGATCTTTTGCCTGTACAGAAACCTCCCGCTCTGACTCTAGTTACACACAGAACAGTCCTGAAGGTGGGTGGATGCAGCCCCGCTTCGAGACAGGATAAGGGTTGCAGTCCAGGGTGAAGTGTGCCTATACAGACCCGGGAAAAAAAAAAAAAAAAAAAAGGTGATTTAGGAATGGAGGCTCCTCGGATGATTCCCTGAGACCGGTCCCAGTTAAGAGGGTGTAACAGAAGGCTAAATTCATTAATGAACACGGCCTCACCACTTCCCCAAGCACTGCTGCTGGCCCACGGCCTCCAGGTCTCTCCTGGTGGGTCCTTCCCCAAATGCAAAGCCACCGTGGAGCCAAGTGGAGTTGCAAATCTTGCAGAAGATTCTCTTGTCCAGAGGCCATAGGGTGGGTGGAGAGCTGCTCCTCCTACATGGGCAGTGGCTACTTGAGGAGGGGCAAAGCTGGTCCCCTTGGAGATGAGCCTGCACGAAGGACAAATCTTTCTAGAATCATTTGACCATCAAAGGATTGACAGAGGCCTTGGGAAAGCCACCGGAGCCCCTACCTGGTTAGGAATTTTGCAGACCTTATTAGCTGGAAAAGTCTGGCTTCAATCACTATCACACGCGCTGTGGGAGATCCAACAGCAGCCCCAACCCCTGCTTGTTCAGTGGCTCTTATCTTTTTATTAAATATATCTTACTTATTTTCATCCTTTTTAAGTTTCATATTAGACCCCCTAAGTTGAAATCCTGATCAAACATTGACCTCATCTCTTCCATACTTCTGGCCCCCTCCAAGTAACATGTCAGCAGTAGCATTCTGTGTGTGTGGGGTGGTCAGGGAGTCACCCGCAAGCCCGCACCTGCATCCTATAAGGGCCCGCTCCAGTCGGGCCTGCACTGTCTGTCGGCCAACAATTTCCTCAAAGCTGAATGTAGTGTGCTGGGCTCATTTCAGCATCTCTAGTTCTGAGAACAACCTGGCAGGTGGGTATTTTATAGATGAGGGAACTGAAGCTAGGAAATGCAGGCGAGCCAGGCCTTGTGGTGGGCACTGGGCTAGGGAAGCTGGGGGAGGTACACACAGCTGGGGGAGGTGGCCTGGCCCTCATGGCCCTCTGAAGACCCCTAGTCCTAGGGCCTGTGTTGGAGGCGTGACTAGCTCTTTTCTCTGCCCATCCTATTTTCCCCTGAGGACAGGCACTGGGTTCCATTGGGAGCAGGTGCAGTGTGGGGCGTGGTCTCTCCTTCCAGCTCCTGCCTTGTCTCTGTCAAAGCCAGATCTGCACAGCTTCCCCAGGCGGCCATCAGGCTGGGGGCCCCCCTTACTCAAGTGCCTTCCTCCGGATCTGGAGAGTTCTGAGTTTGGGGTCACTAATTCCAATGATTAATAGAGACTCTGGACACAGATGCACGCCAACCTACCTACCTAACTGACTTCGAAGGTCAACGCCAGGAGGAAAGTGCTGTAAAGGAAAGGTGGCCACCCGGTTAACAGATGGACCCGGAGGATCGTGGAGAGCTGGATAAAATGCTACCCCAATGTTCAACCTACTGACCTCGGTCTCCCAATTATGGTTATATAAGTGGACACTGTTATTTTTAGAAAATGTTCCCTGAAGTATTTAGGGATAAATGATGTATGTAACCTTTTCTCAAATGGCTTAGTTAAAAATGTGTGTTTGTGCAGGCACAGTCACTCCTCCTGCTGACAGGCACCGATTGTAGATGAGTGGGAGGGGGAGACCCTGGGCTGAGAGGCTCACTGTGGGCTGCGGCTAATGTGGGTGCAAGAGTGTTCTTCATGCTATTTTTATTTTTGAAACTTTTCCATAAATCTGAAATTATTCAAAATAAAATCCTTTTTTTCTTTTCTCTTTT